GTTGTTCTCTGTGCCTCCTCCAGGATGGCACAGACCGAGAGGTGGACAGCGCATGACTTGGCAGAAACGCGTCAAACAGATCATGAAGAGTTTGTGTGTTGTGCGCCTTTCAGGATGGGGTCCCCGTGACCCCGTCTGTGCTTGGCTGGAGACGTTGCAAGAAATGGCGGCTAATCGATGTCAGTGGCGTTCGTGTTGTCAGTTTCTTTCCAGGTTGTCTGATTGAGCGGTTGGAGGTGTAGGCACCTCACTATGCTTGACATAGACCAGTACTAGGTCCCCTCCCTCCCCCACTCTTTTTCTCTTCTCTTCACTGTAGGGCTTTTGATACAATTATATATATATAACTAAACAAACTTTATGGTTGTACGGCAGTGAAGCATCAGTGGCAACACTGATGTTGCTGTCACTGATGATGATGAATGTTCGTATTTGTACCGCTGTTTCATTCTTGGTGCCCGCACTGCGTATTCTCAGCCACTTCTTAGCAACATTAAGTCATTATTTTTTTAATGGGTTCACAAATCCACGAACAGTGACCTGTCACGTTGTTTTGGTAGGAAAAATCAGTTGGCGACTAGCATAAGACAACCAAGAATAGATAAACTTTTATTAATTACGCGTTGTTTTCGTCATTTCACAAGATCATGGCTTTCAATCTGGGGCTTCCCAGTTTCCCGTGCAATGGCATCGAACCTTCATCTGAGATTGACTCGAAATTGGATCGAATGTCGTTCGCTCAACTTTCTCAACTTTTAAACGATTCTGAAAAGATTAAGAAGTTGGCTGAGGAAACACCCGAGGCATGTTTGTCCAGTACACTTACTTTTCGTGCATGCTCAGGTCGTGCGACTAATCGTTCTTAAGGAAGCAGGGATGGAAGAGAACAAAAAGTTGGCCGAAGCCAACCAGTCACTTGAAACCAGTTTTCTGTTCCAGCGAACGGAGCTGGGCAATGCCTACTCGGAAGTCCTCAAAGCCAAATCACGATACCAAGAACTTAGGAGTAAAATAGGTAGATCGAAGTTCTTTGGATTGAGCCACTTCTCATTCTGCTTGGATCAGATGCTGTCAAAGCAAAATATGCCCCTGATACAATTTGGGCCCTCATGATGACGAAAAAATGTGAAACAGAGGAACAGTCCAAGGTAGTTGGTTCAACTTTCTACCTCACCTCCCCGCTTTTAGAATCTGACGCGTGAATTCATGGATGCCAAAATTGATATGGATACTTTTTTGGAAAAATACATTCCGCTTCGAGAATTGTACAACGAACGAACTTTCAAAGTGGAAAAACTGGCACAGAAAATTACTCGAAACTTACCAGTATCTTCATCCAGGCCCCAGTTGTCCAGACCTCCTGGTGGTTTATCGGATCCGGCAGGCTTTTCCGGAGCCGCTTATCCCAAGTTTTGATTACTCCTCATGTATTTTTGTTCTTCCTCTGTAGGCTGTCTGCACGACGGCTGGATGAATAAACTAAGCGCAATTCTAACTTGATACTTGTTGGGTCTGCTCTAGAAGCCAATGTTTTTTGCTCCTCTTANTGTTCTTCCTCTGTAGGCTGTCTGCACGACGGCTGGATGAATAAACTAAGCGCAATTCTAACTTGATACTTGTTGGGTCTGCTCTAGAAGCCAATGTTTTTTGCTCCTCTTACCACTCTCTTTCCCTCGAGCTCCCCCTCTTACGCCGTCTGTGATGAACTGGACGTTATATTGCTGCACAGAACAAGTGTAATCCGCACAATGCCGAAATCACTTCGTTTTTTAATCCGTATTCTCTCGTCCTGGACATAACTTTTTTTGGCGAGCTAAGGAATTTTTGCCATTTTGCTATGGCCAAACTATTGTGGGGTCAAGTCGTCTTACCTTTCTGAATTTTTCTCTCTGAATAGCCTACATTGAATCGGTGTTTGTAGAATGCTGTAGAGACTTGCTGGCCCTTGGAGCATTTGTAAATAATTTAGGATAGTGAACACAAATTATTTCACTTACTGTAAACTTCTTCTGTGAATACCACCCATTTTAGAATGTTCGGTTTGCGCATTGTGAAAATTCCTCTGGGAGAAGTAAAACACCCGTAGAGGAAATCTGTAACGAGCGATACATTGGATCGTGTATACTCGACAACTTAAGATAACTACGGCAGTTAAGCTACCCAGCAGGTTGTTGCAGTTTGAACGGGAATAGACTACCCACAAGTCGATCTGACTTTAATGAAGTCTGTTGGCCCCGACACCAACGCCTAACACGAGTATATGAATTTACTCTAAGAACACTAGGAATTCTACGCTATCCTTTGCAATTTGCTGATCAAAATTTCGTGTTCTGATGGAACACTTATCGGACGCTCTAAGGCTCCTGAGACCATCTATTCGTACACTGTCAGTTCCTTCGAATTTTGTGACGTCCATAAGCTGATATGAAAGAAATAGGCGAGGACATGCCCGTTTTGACCCATTGCAATTGTTTGGATGGCAGTCATTCGTATGATGGTATGTGTACCCTGCGTAAAAACTGGGCGCCATTAATTTTTTGGACATCATGCACGTGATTATAGATCAGTTGGAGGTGTTGTATTTAATACTCGTAATTATAATGATCATTCAGCTGTAACACTTTCAGTGCCAACCTGACGTGCACACCGAAAGAAGCACGAAGGATTAGGTGCTGCCAGGTTTCCCAAGTCTAGAACAGGAGCATTTGAGATGCCGGAGTTGGGTTCGAACCACGGAGCTTCCCGGTCAGGAAGACTGCGCCTTAACCGCTGAGCTCTCTTGAGCCCAAACGTTGTGTCGTACCCCAATGATCAACACCACAGAACAGAGAGTGTCCCATTAGAGCAAAAAACGGAAACCAACACACCTTTGTAGAATTTTTGGGTGGGCTGGTAATGATGAGGAGCTCTGGCACGCATTTATCGGAATATTTCTGTAAAGACTAGTTTCATCCGACGGTGGGTAGCTGTAGCAACGGACTTCGATTCGTTGTTGACAGTGACACCACAGCAGAGCACTGTTGCCTCACTGCCCTACCGTAGTTAACACTGTTAAAAGCATTTTGTAGTTCAAGGACCGTAAGCACACTGTTTGTGAATTTCTATCAATTAATGAAGAATCGGAATGCACAAGGTGTGCGATGGTGTTCATGCAGAGCACAATTGTCGTTGACTCAACTCATGCATCTGATATCTGAGAGGTAGTAACTTTCAAGAAACTTAAGCTCTAGAATAGTTATAGGAGCATGGATTTTTATCAAATTGACCCTTCCGTTATGAACCGGGGTTATTCCAGCTATCCCTCAGCAAAGATCTTTGTGCCCGCTAGTGGGTTAGCAATGCCGTAACAGACGCGCCGAAGACAATTTTTAGGAAAAAGTGGCGGTGACAAGATGTGAATTCCAGTTCACTAATCTACACTATATTTGTTGTCAATCATTGGTTGATGCACGGCCAGGTAGAACCAGTAGTCCAGGTGTCCGTAGGTATGAGACTGCTAACCTCATGGACATGTTGGTTCGGGTATCAAGCTGTGCAGCAGATCGCAATGCTGTATAGTACAACGGATTTGATCGCGGATAGTCTGTCTCTGGCTCGACCCTACCTCCTGACACTTCAGTTGTGACCGTCTAGGCCTTGTCAACCCCAATCAATCAGTGGGCCACTTCTTGTTGATGGATTTTTCAAAGCTGGGAGATACAATATTATTTGTATAAGGCTAGTGACGGTCGTTAGGAAACAGCTTCGTATTAAACCGAAACATTCCTTGATCAAGTCATCACACCACGCAATGGAACCGCTTGGCTCAGTTGAGGGCCTAGCCTAGGAAACTATTGTTTCACTTATTACCATGCGCATCCCTACCGAAAGCTGGTACGTATTTGGAATGACGCAGATACGCGCACATCACAAATCATCAGAGGACCAGTAATGTGAACGAGTCAACTACTAGCGAATTAGTGAAATAATGTGTGACTGGTTGGAGTTTGTACGATCTGAGAAGAGTAGCCAGTCGCGAAAATTGCTCAAGTTGGAAACGGCCGTGGACCGAGAGGCTTGTAGTTGAAGGGAGAAAACCAACAAGAGTTGACATGCACAGAGTAAACCCTGCTAAGATTGGTCGATGTGCTGATAGACGAATTTAGGCTAAATCTTGATCATCATACGGCATCATGTTAACATATCGCCTGATATGAGGAAAACTATAACCATCTTCGATGGTGTCGTTTCTAACAGTTTCACTAAGCGAAGTCCGTTGGTTCTCAGTTGAAGATCCTTCCAACTGGTGAATACAATTTTCACTCAAATGCACGGTGGCGAGGCTATTGCCGCACCGGTTTAGCTCAGATTCGAATTACTTAAAACTCATGCTTAATCGGAGAAAGGTGCTACGCTCATACTTTATATTACGATGAATGTCAGGCTATGAATTTTGCCGGACTCGTCTTTGAAAACGCATGAATTTCGGTTGCGTCGCTTGTTTCGATGGAATTTTGAGTCCGTCTTCCGGAATGGTGTAGGAACGTAGCGTTTAGAGTTGCATTTTCAATGTATACCGGCATCATCTCCCGAAGCCGCCAATAATGCAAAGCGAATCCAGGTCAACCCTGGACGAATGGACCATTCATAGACCATTCACCCACTCAAGTTGATTTTATCCCGATGCACTTTCGAAACGACGGCATATTACCAGCACAGCCAAAATTTTCAACATTTGGTTGCAATGCGGAATTTAGGAGGGTGGTGCCTACTTTTCGATTCCTTCATCCACTTTGTTTTATACTGTCCACTAGCTACTGAGTCCCCTTATCCGCTGTCGATGGTAGATGTGTCGTCAGGACGCGTTTTCGGCAGCTTAATGAAACTGCAAACAGGTGAAATGGTAACACTGCATAAACAGCCGGTCATATTTTGAATGCGTCCGATATTGCTTTTTCTCCCGCACCTGTCCCAGGGCTACAGCTTACCAGAGCCAGACATACCCACCAGTCTAAACACGTAGTCGGGCCCAAGACGTCCGCAGGTCAGACTGCCCAGAGACTTCAAAGATCCCCGTTTCGGTCCCCATTATGCGCAGTATAGGTCTGCCAGAATTACAACGAACAGTCAGATATCAGAATAAGAGGCACTGGCGAGAGTATTAACCTATTAAAGATAAATAATATTCCTTGTTGACTATGCCTATGTTCTTTCAAACACTTGATAATTCACGTTAAACGACTGTCGGGTTGACAGGGCGATGCCTCAGAATGAAGCATGGTTGCGCCTGTCACGTGCTTGATTTTGCAGGATCTACTGCACCACCGTTCTGAGACAGGTGCGGAGTCGCATGACCCACTTGGTTTACACTACATTCGCAAATGAAAGAAGAGTCGTGGAGCGGTACCTTGCCCTCGATGTTTGTTTTGAGCAAGTGGTTATAACTGGTCTATCCTAAGCTGCGAGGCGGGAAATGTTCTTTCTAATGAAAGTTTCAGTATTCGTGCGGTTGCTTTGGATGTCCCGTCCTTTCATAGAGGCAGTTTGACATAGATGGGCAATCCCGAAACTTCACGACCGCAGCTCATCGTGTCAACATGGTCAAATCGTCCCAAGGTCAAGACAGCCGAAGTGATGGCTGTTGGATTAACTCAGCTCTCCTCGTCAGCGGAAATGCCGCGTGAAAACATTTACGCTGCCTTGACCAACCAATCACTTCTCTCCGATCATGCTTCGATCTAAGTGACAACCAAACTTGTATTTCGACGCCTTTGGACGGCATTTTTGCACTTCCGAGTTCGACTTATTCATCATTATAACCACACTTGCCAGCCAGGATTTTATCGAAAGCAGCCGTTTGCAAAAATTTCTTTGAAATATTCAGTGTAGCGTCAGGGCCAATTTTCTTAAGGCAAAGCCAACTGTCATATGTTTCTCCGTCATTGTTTTACTGTTTGATAATCGTATCGCTGTTTTTAGTCACCATGAGTCGGGTCCAATTGGATTCGTGTTCCGAGGTCACGTAGAGCAATCGGCAGATTACAGACAGTGGAACGCAGTTTAGCACAGGTTTTAACTGCTGTCAAAAGTCCACGCACCACAACCTTCGACGCCAGCATATATCCAACAGCGGGGTGTGTTGCTCCCAGCTACCACATTCCATGCGTCAGATTTGGATCAAATTTAAGACTCCGCGGGTAATTTGAGCTTTGAACGCAAAGTCGGTCATCGAACATGAATAGAAAAACGTGGGTGTTGACAGCGCGCACTGACGATGTCTTCTCGAACGGTGAAGAGATGTTCGTAAACCAATTGCTGAGCTCGGCAAGCAGACCAACAACTAACAGGTCCACACATAAGCCACTGAGTTTTTTGCGACATCGAATTAGTCAGAAAGTAACTGAAGCGAAATAGATAATGGATCACTTTGTGTCCGAAATAGACACCCCAGTTATCTAGCTAGGCTGCATCCGGCGTCAATGATCCGTTGTTCTGTTGGCCCTGAAAACATTTCAAGATTATCGCTATGCCGATACATGTTTCTCACTATGCACATTCATTTCGGTTGTCGCTTAGGCTCGGATTAGATAGGAGTTCGACAGAGCTAAGGAATTATGATGAAAAGGCTCGAAGCTCAATATCTATGGCCCAAATTCCCTTGTTTTTCGGTCTCTCCTGTCTTGGCCAACCTGGTTGTACGTTAACTCCTTTAGGATTAGATGACTGATAAAGCCGAAAGTGCGCCATTGTTGAACGACCCAAGTCTAGTGTAAAATGATCGTTTAGCATTGCCCGTTCGAAACAAGGACCCAACAGACGAAAAGTAGCACAAAACCATCTGGTACTGAGAGAAAATTTTCAAAGGAAAGAAATTTGCACACGGTGTAGTACAGAGGATGAATTGCGCAATCATCCTATGAGGAGGATCCCTACTAATGTCGTTTGCGCTTCGATTCACGTTCGTAGGTTTCTTCATCCTCACTTCCACTATCGACCTCCTCCCCATCCTCTGGATCAGACGAACGTGCACGTCGGCGGTGCTTCCGACGACGATGACGGGTGTCCTCTTCGGTAGCTTCCCCTTCATCGTCATCGTCGGCAGCTTCTCCCTCCTCAAGCTCTTCACCCCCTGCTTGTCGACTTTCGGCTTTGTGATGTTTACGGTGCTTCGATTTTCGATGCTTGGATTTCTTGGACTTTCGATGTTTACGCTTCCCAGAACCGCCCGCCACGTCACCATCTGAGATGTGCGCCCCGCTAGCGTCCGAATGATCAGGGGATGCCGGAGTCAATCGCTTCTTACTTTTTTCACGCTTATCAACGCTCTCCGAAACCTCTCTCCTAAACAGAATAACGAACACCAAAATGTGTTACACTGCTTTGAAAGGCACATAGAAAAGAAATACAGAAAGCGAAATGCATCACCAGAAAATACTCGGCTCAACACCTACAGACGTACAGCACACTGGTCAAGCCCCCTCTTCATTTCAATCATCCTACTCACTTTGTCACCGTGAGCTAAAATAGCATCGAGCAATATGACAATAGTACCATATGGCTGTCCACTTTGTGTTGTGTAGTAGTGAGATCCTCGCACGTTGTCTGACATCCCTAGATCAAAAAGCGGGCTCTGCACAAAGTGCCTTCAACTAAGAGCAACAATCCTAGTTCTATTGTGAGCTTACTCCGAGTTTCCGCTTGAGGTTATGGCTATCAGTAGTGAAATTGATCAAACACACATCTACAGCGACCAACTCCAAAGTGACCACTTTAGGTAAGTCCCCTAAATCATTGTTCTGAACACTATAAAGTTATCAAGAGTAGACAATTTGTCAAATCCTGAAGCTGCCAAGTCTAATTTCACGTACTATGAATGAAAAATACACCCAACAATACATTGTACTCCAAAACGAAGGCATCCGGGGTAGAGCACATTCTACAGAACTCGTTGTGGATGGCTTTAGCTTGTCAGTTACGAGCAGTTTAGTCCTGACAGTTGTAACAAAGTCAGCACTGCATATCCATATCAGACAACGAACTGGGAACATGAGGGAGGTTAAAATCGCCTAAACCGAGTAGCTTCAGTTAGACTGTATTAAGGCTGTTTATCAAAATGGAAAATCCCCCTCGATTAAAGCGATGGACCACCCTTTCTCTCTACATTACGATCGTGTAAACTATGGATATGAAGGTGAGCATAATTGGTCTGGTTATTGATCAGGTGGTAATTGATCTGCTCGGCGAGCTTCTGGCTTCAACTGACTGTCTCACACATTACACACTTTGAATGGCTCCCATTTGACTGGTATCTACGACCACCTCCTACAATTGAAAGGCTCATGGAACATCAGAACGATGAAAAGGGACCCAATCGTTTATACTATCTTACAAATGGTATTCGGTGATGACAAAAGCAGGCACAGTGTGCAACTGAGGCAGAGCGCCGCCAAAGCTGAAGTATGAACTGCCCCGTCTCTTCACAAGTGATTTAGGCGCTTGACTAAACGGATCAATGTCGCAAAATACCAGATGTTGAGAGGAACTGGTTACCGAAAAACGTCGGCAGAAGGAATGTTGAAGTAGCCAAAAAACAACTCGTTGTATCAGTTACTTCGTTAGCAACGTCACAAGGTCAGTTTCATCGATCAGCTGGACACTGAATTTCGCCCATATCAGTGTTTGCCCACAACAGCGTCCTAAGAGACAAGTCAAACTCGTCATGCCCTGCAGAGAATTAGATGCCCGTGGTCGCCATTAAGTCCGAATTACTAGCATCACTATAGCCAGAGCTGTGTCAGTCATTCCTGAATCCATTCGACCTTGTTTCGGATGGGTGGTTGCGCAACGGTCTAGTTAGACCACTTCACCCTTATTTTGGCTAGCTCTGGGCCAAAAAGCTGATTGATTTGCACTAGCTTACCCGGTTTCTGTGGTCCTGCTACTCAGCGGATGTTCTAATGCATACGTGGCAATGGAAGGAGTGCCATGTTTGTTAGCAGACGCAAATAAATGATTTGATATTTGCGTATCTTTGGGAGCAACACAACGTGACGAATTGACAGCTGCAGCTCGGCAGCTGGATCCATATCGCTTGAAACCAAAGTGTACTATTCCAGTTGGATATTTCGCAAGCTAGCCCAGGTAGAACAGAGGTCGGATTGGCCTGATTCAATCAAACTGAAGGATGCACGAATCGCCGCCGGATGAAACCCACATCAAACGTGGGATTTGGTCTTCTGTCCATTTGATGAGACCTAGGGTCATTTTCGAACAACTTGGCTAACCAAGACAATTAATGATAGTTGCTATTTATAAAAGCTGGTTTTATGGTGAGGCATAATGTCTTGCAGATTGTTCTTTCTTAAGTGGATTCAACAGTCAAAAACCTCCGGATTAACGAAAATTGTCCCTGTACCTGGGAATTTCACCCCAAAGGAAGTTCATTATCGTTGCAGACATGTCCCTAGACTAGACGCACCTATGTAAGGCCTCAGGAATGATAAGCTCAAGACGTAGTCCAGGGATCGGACCTTATTTCGCTCGCCAATGTAGGTCCTCAGTTTGGGTCGTTCATTTTCCGTTGGAGCAGATACCAGAATGCAGTATGCATTTAAGGACGGCCCAGTAAAGACTTCCAACTGCATTTAAGAATTGTGCTGTTGTCCGGAAGCCAGCTATCCGTAATAACCGAACATCACATTAATTGGGCGGATGTGTCACGTCCAGGCTACGAACCAAACGATGCATGCCCTGATTGGTCAAACTGCCAGCCAATCTGGTTCGAGCATCTTAAGTTCAACGCTTACCACCTCCTAACGGAGATTTTTGCACGATTTTGTGGAATACTCTGTGATTACCCTATAGATACGGTTGTAATAATGTCTCGCTGTCTCCATAAAGCGCCATCGGAAGTTACCTTGCCTTCTGATATACCATAGTGGGGGAAGCAGGAAGCCAAGGGACCGATACATAGTCGCACGACCGCTCAACAAGTGACAACAGCTATAATACTAATAATACTACTAATAATAGGCACTTGTGCTATGTACAAAAGAATTTGTTTCAACTGGGATCCCTGGAATTTTACGGGTCCTATCCTAACAACTACAAAGAAATCGAACTGCGCTCAAAAATACACCGTAATCGCTTGAACATCCAGTCGGACAAAACCACGTGAGATGGATATGAGGGGGAAGCAGAAGCCAAGGGACCGATACATAGTCGCACGACCGCTCAACAAGTGACAACAGCTATAATACTAATAATACTACTAATAATAGGCACTTGTGCTATGTACAAAAGAATTTGTTTCAACTGGGATCCCTGGAATTTTACGGGTCCTATCCTAACAACTACAAAGAAATCGAACTGCGCTCAAAAATACACCGTAATCGCTTGAACATCCAGTCGGACAAAACCACGTGAGATGGATATGAGTGTGAATGGTCATAAGTGTTGACACATTGGGTGTTCAGTAGAATACCGCGTAAACCGATTGGGGACATGTACAAAATACCACTCAAAGACGTACTTGTGACGATGCTTCTCCTTGTGACCTTTTCGTGACTTTTCGCTCTCCGCTAAAGCCGCAGACTCTAGGGAGATCAGATATTCTTTGAACAAACGAATGCGCTCCGATTCCAGAGTCAACGCCTGTGGGTATGTGAAAAGGAGAGACAGGAATGCATCAAGAAGGAAAAGGAGATTGTTGGAAATGGTTTTTTATAATATGGCTAAACTGCAGTTGAACAACAAAGTATCGGAGGGTATTAAGCACGTGACAAAGTGGTGGGACAATAAAAAGACAAACGTGAACTACAGAACACAAGTGAGACGATACACCAGTGAGTGAGTAGGACAGAGTGCATTCTACAAGCATTTTTGATTGTACGAAGGGGTGGTCAATAGAATGTCTCGAGCAGAAAAAAGGATATGATGGACATCACCCCAGACATGCCATAGAAACTTCGTTGATTGACGTGGGAATACCAACAGTGTAACACAGATAGTTCCCAGCCGGTGAATAAGATCGAGTCACTCAGAAATGTTTGCCTCGAATTTCCCCGTTCAGCGAACGACAGGTACATAAAGGTCAAAGGCAATCCGCAAAATGCAGTTGTCTTCAGAATATATCTAGGAACAAGTACCTCAAAGTGACTCCCTGAGAATGTGATACTCTTCGCTTGATGGATATCCCAGGGGATCATAGAGAAACAGAAAACGGAGTGGTTTAAGGAACTTTACTATAAAATAATAAAATAGTTGAGTTGTAACACCCTTTTGCTGCCAGAAAGAAACAGGAGGGTTGAGATACTATCAGGTTGCTCAAGTCTAAAGAGAAACAGTCGAGATGCCGGCGTTGGGTCTGAACCACAGACCTCACGATCAGTAAATCCGTGCCTTAACCGCTGGGTTATCTCGAGCACAGACAATTTTCCCAGTATAGTATTCCCTCCCCCCCCCAAGGAAAAACTTTGAATGGATTCCACATACATACTCAGGTTACAAGCCTGTGGTCATCGGGCACCGCCATCTATCTCACTAGGGACTAGTTGTCTTCCCACCTTGTTAAACATGAGTAAGAACCATCAAACAAGAGGCGTTATCGCAAAGACGTGACGAAGAAAACTGTGTTTGTTATTGGAACCTCGAAAATAGGAAATTGGCATGCATTCATTCATCTCATTCTTCAGGCGTATTACATTCAACGGGCAATGTAACTGTCAAATGTCCCGACGAATGGTGCTCTATGTATACCCAAGGTGAAAGTACCGACTGGGTCCAGTCCAGTCAGAGAGTTCACCAGTGTGATTAAGTTAGTGCACCGACTGTGCTGCTTAGGCGTGAAAATCAATTAATCAGTATCATCTTCAGAGACGGCAACCTCAGTGTTGACACTGATGCTTTACTGCCGTATAACCATGAAGTCAATCCAATTATATTTAAAGCCTTCGAGTAAAATAGAATAGTGGGTGAGGGAGGGGACCTAGTTCTGACCTATGTCAAACATTCTGAGGTGCCGACGCTCAATCAGACAATCTGGAAAAAACCGACAGCACGAACACCAGCTGACATCGATCAACCGCCATTTCTTTGAACATCTCCAGCCAAGCACAGACGGGGTCACGGAGACTCCATCCTGGGAAGCATATAACACCAACATCACCCGAACTATTCGTAATCCCTTCCACGCCTTTCTGCCAAAACGTACGTTGTCCACCTCGCGCTTTCCCCCATTCCGAAGAAGGCACAGAGAACAATACTCGTCTCGGTAGCCCAAGTTTCAGCATGCGTAGCAAGTGGCCGAGCCATCGCAGTCTGTGGGGTTGGACATTTTCCGTGATTGAAGTACCTGCTGTACAACCAGATATTCGTTTTCTAATTAGCTCGTTACTAATCCGTTGACGCCATCCAAAACTAGCAATGCTTCCGAGGTATTGGTGGTTAAGAAACTGAAGACGCCTCACATCATCTGTCCACAGAGGCCACGTTTCACTGCCATACAACAGCACAGCCCTTACTGTGACCTGATACACGCGACCCTTAAAACATAGTTATATGCTTTTTCGACGCCACAATTAGTGCAAATTAGCAAACGTTTGGGCCTTTGAGATTTTTGCACTGACTTCCTCAGACCCACTTCCGTCAAGGAGGCCCGGATCAACGAAATGGGGCAGTTCCATAAAGTGTCCCCCTTTCGGTTCCACAAGGTTGTTGGTTTGGGCCTGATTTTTGCACTGACTTCCTCAGACCCACTTCCGTCAAGGAGGCCCGGATCAACGAAATGGGGCAGTTCCATAAAGTGTCCCCCTTTCGGTTCCACAAGGTTGTTGCCCAAAGGGGAAATAGCAATGGAGAAAAATTAGTACAACCAAAATTATCTTCGGCGAGGCTTCTTGATAGAGTCAGTAGTGTGATAGGGCTTGAAATTCACATTTATCGAGCGACTGCGTAATCGACGCCTTCAACTGGATTGTTATTACTTCGGTAGGACATTGATAGAGGAATGTGAATACGAGATGGGCGAAAATTCCCACGACTCGAGTGAGATCACTATACACCAGGGTTACTTATTTGCTGGAAGCGATTTCAAAACCGTCGTAACGAATGTCAGGAAAACGAGTAGTGTGCCAAGTGAGTTTGGTAAGGCTGCGATGCAAACTTACGCAGAAAGCTGGATGTCCGCTGAAATGGTCTCGAACTTCTTCCCATGTGGTATTGTGTCCGATGAATTTGGCCGAACAAAGCATCTCACAGAAATTCTGTTCCAACTTACGCATTCGACGTGCATCGTCTCTCTGGCGTTCGCGCTCCCGCCCTTGAGCCTTTTCGAGGAAACTCTCGTAGGTCATGCGCATGTTACCATCATCAATGCCCTTGCTTCGTTCATCTTTCGAGACAAGCTAGACCCGAAGTGGAAAGAATATGGAAAGACATTTTCCGTTAACAAGGTGTCTGATGTCATAATTTTTGGCTACAACTGGAAGTCAGCTCACAAAATCATCAAGACATAAATAAGGATAAACTTAAAAGCACAAAAAGCACTACGGTGGAGAACAAACTCAACAAGACAAATTTTGTGTCGAAGATAAAATTCATACTGGTTGGCCGGCATTAGCTACGAACACTTCTGTTGACAGCTCGCTGGACACCTACGCATAGTTTAGCACCGTAATCACCATTATAGAACATTGGTGCCTAGCTGAAAGAACCACATAAATAATTAGTATGATGGCTGATGAGTTGCGGTTGTGCAGGACCCACTGCACTCAAAAAAAACAGGACGAGCGGGTGCATAAATACTGGATTGTTTACCTAGACATTGCGGTAAGGCGACAAATTCTCGCGAGTCCTGCTTAACCTCCTCGAGTCTTGGGGCTAGCTAGGGTTACGGATGGGGTTGGGCTAGCGAGATGGCGGGGGGAGGCGAGGGCTTTTTAGTAAATGCGCTCGGAAAACAGGATAAACAAGAACCCTGTGAAGCAAACGCCCACCAATCACCATTTTCGTGGAAAACCGTCAGTACTGTGTGCTATCCTGTGACCCACAACTCGTCAGCAGGAAGTGGAATTTTCAAGCAGTACGGGAAGCTAGTAAGCGTGGGAAATGTTTCCACTCCATACTTTGGTTTGCTCCTCACGAACGGCCGCCCCTCGCAAAAAAACCCTCTCTTAGGAGTGCATTAAGCCAACTAGGTAGCATACAGAGAAAAGTGCGAAATCGATACGCATCCCCTCCTCAGTAAAATAGAGACTTACAGCAACAAAATCTTCAAAGGAGGTAGACAGATCGATATTGAGCCCGTTGTCCTTGATAATTTCTTTTATAAGCTTTCGTTCGGCTGGATAACGGGCTTTAAGCGCCTCCACATAGAACTTGAAGAGATCGAGTGGAGTTGACCCACGCTGCGCGAGCATCTTGTGGAATCGCTCATCTCTGAAACAGTGACAGATCGGAAAGGATGCATAGCAGTCTGGTTATACATCGCCGGAGGAATTCATCAGAAAAAAGCGCGCTAACCAACTCACAAACTATTGGCTTCTACCAAATTTCGGAGGTGGTAAAGCTCACCGAAATGTACTTCGAACGATCAAGAATAACTCCGCAAAGTGCGAATATGATCACAAGGAAACCTGATGCATTCGACTAATCCATTATGGTGAATAAAAGCAACAAATCACAGACTGGCTTCTCCCAGCCGAAGTAGTCTCTATCATACATAGTGAGAGGTGAAATGGATTCATATCCGGGAAATTCTGTCGACATTCCAGGGAACACCAAACCTGAACACAGAATGTAAATGAGCGGAGAAAAGAATCACCGCGCAACAATGTGACGAACAGATTGTATCACCGGGTTTGACATCAATGACAAGTCGTGAGCAGCGTCAGAACGTTCCACAGAGCACGGAACAGTGGATAGATTCATCGAGCGCCGCAAACAGATGAAGCTCTACAGGAACGGATCACAGTGAATTCAAGACATCAACGCGGTATGTTGGGATGTAGAACGAAAGGGGGCTTGGGGATAAGATGAGCAGAGGATAACGACCATAAAATACTGTAGAAAACAGTACACGGCGAGAGGCGGTTAATCGTAAGCATCAGCTTCTTGGAACTTGTCCAAATAACCCGATTTCCACTAATTTAACTCGCTACTCAAGAATGGAGGGTGTCCACAAGTGCACTCGTACCCTTCAGTAACCTCACATTCACACTTCGGCTGCCGGGCTTCACAAATCAGTTTGTTCGCACTCGGCCGGATTAAGGAGTCTCGTATGACTTGATCACTCTTTGGATGGGTCTGTAGCCCAAGGATCATCCAGCCATCACACTGGAATTACAGATCTGAAAGAGCTCCTTCCCACACCTGATCAAAAACCTTCCATCTCGAGTAGCCTGTAAGGAAGGACTACTATGTCTATAAGATTTCGACTGGGTTTCCGTTCTTTAACCCGACCGATCGTCCGAACTGCAGCCAAGAGTTAAATTGGCCGCTATCTTTGTCTATATTGTCCTTCCAGGATCGAACTCATTCGAAGCACCGAAAGAAGGACTCACACATCTATTGAAACGCTAAAAAACATACAAAGACTTTGGCGCAACGGAATGGAAAATTTTCCCGCATTCATACAGTCTCCCAATAGGGAGTGAATAACTGCTATCAAAAGTCGGAAACGGTCGGAGCAGCTGATGACGACGCTGAGAACTCTTGCAGCTAGATGGGCGAGGGTGAACCAATGCCTCAAACAACTTGTGAAACTGGAGGATCTCATACGTATGCAATACATACCAACAGAAAACGAATTTAGAATTTTCTGGAAAAATCTCGGCATTATCATAGCCTTGAAGAACACTAAGTCGTCTGTACATTTTGCGTCTTACTAAGTGCAATGGAGTCGGCACGATTTTGGGTATAGGGACATACATACATAAAGTTCCTTTAAACAGGAGACCCCAAACCCGAAGGCACTTTGATTCCCTCTGAGGGTGCCTTTTGTTGGGGAAAATCACTGCATTTGTGTGGATGTTTTACATAATTCGCCAGACAAGTAATTTCGTTGTGTGATTGCGGGATTTGTAAGATTCATGTTCACGTCACTCTCGTTTGAACAGATTGACATGGTAGGAGAGCGTGTTACCACTACTCACCACACTAGACGCAACTGAATTGTCACGTCTGAACGGGTAAACGTGTTCATACTTGAGCGATGTGATTAGTTTGCCTGAAGCCTCCAGCATACATTGGTGGAGTAGTGGCAATGCCCTCGCCTCGCACGTCAAATTTCTGGAATACATGCCTCGGTGCGCTCAAGAATATACACAGGTAATCTGGTCAACTCCCATAGTTCCATCTTCAAAGTATAGTTTACCAAAATGAAGTGCTACACACATTCGGTCGTACTGTTTTTGCGCAGCCACTTTACGCCCTTTAGACTTGGTTCAGTTGCCTTCCTTGAGATAAAAGTAACCGTTGAGTTTCGGCCGGAACGTACACAATAACCCTGGATTAGCCTTCTTCGATCTAGTATTCGGTAGGTCGGTGCAAATAAGCGGATGTGTACACGTTTCATAAACGCGAGAATTTCTTCCATCGTTGTAACAAACCAGAGGGTGGCAGGAGCAAGTGAGAAACAACGAAAAATGAGGTGGCATACAATAGGTATTGCAAACGTGTCCACTATGAGAATGTATCAAGTAGGAACGGTATGGTCGGAGCCGTATGAAGCGATGATAAAGTTAGATAAGAGACCTGACTTTTCACGTAAATTCATTCGACTCAAACGAGTAATCTTTTGATTAGAGCAGGCCATATCCTATGAGGCTACACTGCCTAGATCGTCTGGCTGACAGCTAACCTGGGTATGTTTTGTCATCTTCCACAACCCCCTGGGGAAGCACGGTATCAAGTAACACTCATGTCATGAGAAACGCGGAAGAGATGCCAGGGACTTAGTGTCCACGAACCTGTTAATGATGGAGTACAAATCTTTCCATAGGGACGTTGCCGTGAGCAATTTGTTTTCGTGTAGTTCATCCAACAGTACTATGAAAGCCTCGCGATTCTTTCGTTGTTGACGCTTCTGTCTACGCCGATCGCGCTCCTTCTCCTCATCATGCTCCTGTTCCAACATGCAAATATGTTCTTCAAAGCAAATCAGAGCATCCTCCTTGTCCAGACTTTGCAGTTCAATATCTCCTGTGAATCTGTTGGGTGAAGAATGATGAACAAGATCGACAGATCTTAATTGGCCATGGAGATGAGACAGAATAGGCATACTCAGTAAAAACAAGATCATGTGCCTCAAAGAAAGAGGAAACAATACCATAACCGAATGAGCTCACATAAATTGATAAACGACTATTCAAACCAAAGAATACAACCCACAGAGACCACATGTGCTGAAAATGTGAAAGTGATCTCTACTAAGTAAGCCGAAGTATTCAGTCATTTCGAAGATGCAAGTAACAGACAAGTAGTATTCGATTGGAAATAATAATAATAATCGTTCAGCCGTAACACCCTTTCGGTGCCTAGCTGCCATGCCACACGAAGCAGGCACGAGAGCTGAGCTACTACCAGGTCGCCCAAGCCTAGGCAGGGGAAGTCGGCAGAGGTTCAAAACACTGAGCTTCCGGACAGTGAATCCGCCGTCTGACCACTAAGCCATCTCGCCCCAAGTAGTGTTCGTCTGAAATTCGCCGGCAGTTTTTTGGAAAAAACGAAACCGAGGTATGTTCTGCGTAATTCTTTATCAAAGTAAATTTTAGTTTTAAAAAATCATTTGAAAAGTGAGGAAGTGTTAACATGAGACGAAAACACGTGTCCAGTTTATGAATTTCCTCAATCAGGTTGGCGTTGTAGAGGCCACTTCAGAGTATGGAATGCAAGACATCGGCGGGCTTTCCCCGACATAATAGATCACTCACACAATTGATGAAAACTCGCAGACAGCTGACTACCAGTTCTGTCCTGCTCTAAGACTGGTCAGGTATCCCTGGTTCCAGAATTTCCATCAATACCACCTACTCAAACACCGGATTGGATACCCGTGGAACCCAACACACATTTTCATAATGAGACTTGAATGAACCTATTGCTTAGGATTCACTTGTTTTTATAAGAAGAGCGATGCAATAGTCTGATTATTATACAGGCTACGTAACAAACAGAAACGCCAGGTAGTACTGACGTGGTGCCCTATAAAAGGTTGATTTGTTGCATTTACAGACAGGTGGATCTCCAGGTAACACCATTTGTTTGAGTGCAGTCACAGTATCCATCACATTTTCGCCCTACCCGGTAAGTCCCCCTCCAATGGCAGTTAGTGCTTCTTCAACATAAGACCATCCCGGTCCCTGTGCCTGCAGAATGGAAGTGCGGTGGTGCAACAGTAGTATTAACTAACGTTAACCAATAAACACAGTCCACAGTGAATTATCCGAGGCACTACACTCAATGCATGAAAGCCTGTTGGCAATCAAGTTCTAGCGTCTCCACCCACTAACATCCTTTCCCTATCTTGTGTTTTCAATTTGACAGAGAATATTTGTCCCATTCTGAGCAATCTACAAGCAGATTGAAGGTGAAAAACAAACAAGATATCTTTAATTTGCACCGAATCGGCCTATCTCCAGAACAAAGGGCATAAAAAAACCACGTGTATAATATATATATATCTA